GACCCTGTCCCCTCCCCGATCCTTAGCCTTATCCCCCAGTGGGTTCCCCCCACATCCTCTGTCTCTCCCTCCTCTCAACCCCCAAGCACCCCTTCCCAACACAGCAGCTCTGATCCTAAGACAGAAAGGAGAAGGGGAAGTGGGGTTAGCTGGGAGCTGGAGTGGGGGAGGAGAAGACTCAAGGGTCACGTGGCCCCAGTCCCTCCCCGCCCAATCCCGAAAAACCAGCCCAGCAGGTCACATCACTCTAACCCAGCCCAGGGACCCAGGAGTGCAGGCCCTGAGGCCCCACACACAGCTCCTGGCCACCACCTTCTATCCCTAGAGAAACTCTGGCACCTGACACTCCACCACCCAGACACACACCACCTCCACCTCCACCTCCAGCACCAGGCCTCAGCTCTGCCCCTCCCAGTAGAGGAAGTTCCCCGGCCTTTCCCCGAGGCTTTCCCCCATGGCTTAGGGGAGGGGTCACGAATCTGAGGGCTTCCTCCCCAATCCCAGAGCAAGAAGACCAGGTTACTGTGGAAACAAACCCCTCCTCCCAAAACAACAACAAGGGAGACAGATACCACACCAGCTGGGCAAAGAGACAGAGATGGGGAGCAGAAGCAGGAGCAGGAGGAAGAGGGAGCAGGAGAGAAAGTGACAGAGGGACAGGTAAGCAGGTGGTGGGCAAGCAGACCGACACGCTGGCTGCCAGACAGACAGACAGACAGGAACCTAGAGCCTAGAGATGGAGCCACAGAGAACCAGAGGCAGACACAGGAGAGAGAAAGAACAGATCTACATAAAGCAACACTTCATCGTGCAGCTACCTCCAAGTCTCACCTCTTCCTCTTCCTCCTCCTCCTCTTCCTCCCCGCCCACCCCTAGGCCCCCGCCCCCTTCGGGGTCCCGGCTCCTAAAGCCGCTCAGCACGACTCCCCCAGGGGAGGCCCCTGCCGAGTCCAGCAGCAGCCGCAGGGGCCTGGGGAGCATGGCTGAGATCAGGGTTTAGGCAGTCAACAGGGTCAAGCCATGGGGCCGCCTGGGGAGAGACAAGGAAGGAGGGGCGTCAAGGTGGGGGAATGTGGGGGAGCACCACCAGGGAGGGGCTGGGGAGGGAGGACGAGAGGTCCGAGACGGGCGCGGGGTGGACAAGTTCATTGGCTGCAGGGATCCGGGGGGATCCACACAGTGCAGGCGGGCGCTGTAAGGAGTGGGGGACCAGAGCGCAAGGCTTGGGTGGGTGCGGGCTGGGAAGAGACTTGTGCAGGGGGTGGTATGTGGGGAATCTGGCGGGAGGAGGGCGGAAAGAGTTTGGGGGCCGACCCAGAGGAGGGGACAGCGTCTGGGCGGAGAGGGGGGCTCTGGGGCTCTGACCTGACTCCGGGCGGGGCAGGGGCGGCGCGGGCCTCGGGGCAGCTGTTCCCGTCCGTCTCAGGCCGGGGCCCCGAGTCCCCTCCCTGTCTTTTCCGCCCCCCCCTCCCTTTCCGCTCCTCCTCCTCCTCCCTCCTCCTTTCAGGAGTCCGCCCGCTCAGAGGGCAGGAGTCAAATAGGGAAGGAAGTAAAGGACAGGGAGGCGAGAGGGGGAGGTGTGTGCTGAGAGCCCGGACATGGGGTGCATGGTGGGCGGGGGGTGTCACCGCATCAGATAGCCAGGCACCCAAGACGCCCCCAGCCACGAAGCCTTTCCTCTCTGGGGAACCCGGTCCCCAACTTCTGGTTTTTACACCCCACTCCCACCGCCGTCCAGTTAGGGCAAATGACAAGAGTCCTTGCAGCCTATCCGAGCCAGGAGCATTATAGACCGGCACTGTCTCCCGTTAATCCGTGCCTCCTCTCTTTCTCTCTCATATTAGGGAACGGGGCAGAGATGGAATCCAGTACGGGTTTTCCACGAGGCTCACGGGGTTTGGGGTGAGGGAAACGATCGGGTAAGCTACCACATCCTGTTCCGGATCCCTAGGCTTCGGGATTTATGCTCTCCGGGGCCGAGTGTCCTTCTTTGGAGCGCGTCTGTTTGGGTTTCTCCACTCAGTGCCTGTTTTTCAGACATGCACAGTGTTGAGGGATGCAGGTATCTGATGTTAGTGGGTACCTGCAAGGGGAGTGGCTGCGGCAGAACGGTAACGAGGGCGGGTAAGATAGGGCTTGGTCCTGACGCTGGCATATGGGGTCTTTTTCTCTCCACCGAAGTCTGGGGACCAGAATCCTAGCTCCAGTCTTCTACCAGCTGGAACCCCCCCCCCCACCTGAGGAGGCAGGGAATACCAGCGTGTAAGGGGGATGGGAAAGGTTGGGGATCCTGCATCCCCTGCTTTGGGAATGAAGCAGCCCCCCTCCCCCAAGCCGCCTCAGTGCCCAGCGAAGAAGGGGGTGCCGCAGTGAAGAGGGAGCCCAGGTACACAAGTCCAGATCCTGGGGACCGTTCCTTTCCAGAACTGAACCCCAAAATAATAGTGAGACAAGGGGGAGAGCTCTCCCAGGCTAAGAGAGAGCAGAGTTATCGGCTAGTGGAAGATAGGGAGGAGAATTCACAGGCCCTCTTCCACCACAGCACTCCCCCAGAAGACCTCGGGTTCATCGTCCCGGCTCCTCTTTATGCTGGGGTCGCGACTGATGAATTGAAGCCCCTCCTTACTTCCTGTACCTTCCCTGGAGTTCCAGGTGGCACGTCTCCTCGGCCCTGGATCAAGCTAAACTAATCCCCCTCCTTGAATTGCCTGGCCTCAATGTCTAGAATTCCTGGGGGTCTCTTTAGGATACTCCAGTGTGTCCACCCCCTTCCCAAGGTGTGGAAGCAACTCAGACCTTGGAAGCGTCCCCTCTTCCTACCAGAAGTTCCTGGAAGCCTTTCTCCCTCCCCAGAACAAGCAGGCTTCCTCACCCCGTTGGACTCGGGGGAGGCCACACACACACACACACACACACACACACACACACACACACACACACACACACCCTAGTTCTTGGGCACCATACTCCCCCACCCCCTCTTGAGGGGGAGTCTCTACTGTTTTTGCTGTACGTGAAAAAATCCTACTTAAACTTCAGTAATTAAGAATATTGAAGAGATGTGGGGCAGAGGGGACAGCGAGGTCATAGGATGAATTAACCACAACTGGAACTATTCCCTCTAATCCAACTTTATTCTCATGACAAACACACTTTCCCCTACCCAAACCACCTCCCATCCATCTTCTCAGTCTGCCAGGACTCTCCCGGAGCTCTAAGCACCTGGATCTTTTTCTCAGTGGGATTTCTGGAAGCCAGAATGGGAAAAAAAAAAAATGGAAGTGCAGCATCATGGGCAATAGAGGGCAATAGGGAGTTAAGGAAAGGTGGAATGATGTCATTGAGTCCAACCCACACCCGTTTTACAAATGAGGAAACTGAGGCCCAGATGTGACAAATGATTTGTCCAAGGTCATGATCACTAGTAAGTAGCAGATAGTGGATTAGGAATTTTAGGGGGTAGAGTGGGGTGAGTTTAAGGACTGATAGTGGGGAAAATAAAAAGTCTATATGGGCGATGGTCCAGATGAAATGGGGACTGAAATTCGATTTTGAGAGAGTACTGTAGGACCTAAGCCACCAGGGAGCTAGTTACCTTTTCCTTTGTGTCTGTAGAAGGAGAGAGGAAGGACACTGTGGAAGAGAGATGGAGGTGAGAATGGTGACTCTGGGACTCTGGTTACATACCCCAGGCCTGTGGTGTGTGTGTGTGTGTGTGTGTGTGTGTGTGTGTGTGTGTGTG